TCTGTTCTGGTGCAGAAGAATATTGGTGGGCGGAGGTCGCTTCAGATATTATCTCTGTTTAATGAAGATATTATAAATGACTAATCAAGAAGTAAACGGCAGCTATTATGTCTGATTAATCAAGAAAGCTACATTAGGTAATCATCAATGTTTAGACGACGACATATATCGTCTCTGATTAATCAAGGTTGCATCACATATATCTAATTAATCAAGAAGGCTACATCAGATATTGTCTCTGATTAATCAAGAAGGCTACATCAGATATCTCTAATTAATCAAGAAGGCTACATCAGATATTGTCTCTGATTAATCAAGAAGGCTACATCAGATATCTCTAATTAATCAAGAAGGCTACATCAGATATCTCTAATCAAGAAGGCTACATCAGATATTGTCTCTGATTAATCAAGAAGGCTACATCAGATATCTCTAATTAATCAAGAAGGCTACATCAGATATCTCTGATTAATCAAGAAGGCTATATCAGATATATCTGATTAATCAAGAAGGGTACATCAGATATATCTGATTACTCAAGAAGGGTACATCAGATATCTGTAATTAAGAAGGCTACATCAGATATAATCTCTGATTAATGAGGCGTACAATTGTAGAAATCACCCATAACTAATCAAGAAGTGTAGGTCAGTTATCACAAGAGCCATAAAGGCGTTACTGACCCTCCTAGAGCCTGATGCACACCTCGGTGTATAGAGATGTTAAGTATCGCGGCCATAATAACCAAATTATCTAAAATGTATAAATAGTATGGAGGTGTAGGTACGCAGATGCCCCCGGGGCTCTCTCCCAATCTCCCCCTCTCCCACTTTTTCCACCTTGCCCCCACACATCTCCCTTTCTCCCCCTCCTCCCTTCTTCCTTCCCCTCTCTCCTTCCTTCTCGTCAAACATCCTCCTCTCCTGATCTTTCTTCAAACACTCCTTTCCCCTTCTCTCTCTCTCGCAGAAAATCTAATACTGAATTCACCTTCAACGAAATTTAGCGACTCTGCTGGCCACCTTTCACCAGTTACGAGAATGGTGGAGGTCACTATTACACCCATTCTCCCTCCCCCTCTTAATAGAACCAATAGGACCGTCCCTGCCAGCTTGTGTCCGTCCTGTACCCCAGATCATTCACCATGCAAAGTTGGGTGAGGCTAGCCCCAAGTATCTGGCCTCCAACCTTGAACAGATAGGTAGCAACGAGGACACGGTTCAGCATTCAACAATATATTGCTGAAAGATCTAGAGGCAGACGTGTGATGACACGGTGACCTGGCACCGCGTCCGCCGCCTTATTCCCGGAAATCCCTACATGGGACTGGATTCATTGTAGAGACACTGACCATCCTGAGGATCTATAGGACCACTGCAGCTCTTCGCGAATTTGAGACACTGTCAGTGTACCCGGGGACGTCGAAGAGACTCTAGGTCGAGGGCCCCAGTTGAGTCCACATATAGTTCAGCGGCCGAGGCGCAAGGCAAGCATGATTGCAGTTTCCCGGCCAGACTGAAGTGGACACGGGAGTTTCCAAGTCTGATAAAAGGACAAAGTCGCAAAGTATGCAACCACAGAGATGGACGGTGACTGATCTTTCCGAGACCCTTCCGTGTATACCAGCAGTTCCCAACCGGCGAGTGGCGACCCCACTTGGTGTGGGGTCTTTTGAGTATTAGAAAATAGAGGCATTCCGAAAATGGTTAGGAACCAATGGTATATACTTAAAAATACTAGGTGTATGTAGAGGCTTGCAGGTCTGCAACAATAAAGAGTGCCAGACCCTCTAAATCAGCGGTTCCCAACCGGTGGGTAGTGACCTTCTTGGGGGTTTTCTGAGTTTTAGAAAATAAGACCATTCCCAAATACGTTGGGAAGCACTGCGCTAATTCCTTCCTGCGGTACACTAGGATAATTCCTCTTTCACACGGATAATGCCACGGAGGGACTAGAGAGACGACAGGACCTGGGACAGGGACGGGAACGGACGCAGAAAGCTGAGAACAAACCCCTAGGGATATGGCTGTGAAAGGCAGCTGGCGGCCCCTTGGACGTCTGACTGGCTTGTCCCACCAGTGGGCCTCGCACCATAGGTGAATAAGTGGATGGGAAACAGGGAGGCGCGTGATCCTATGGAGTCAGCGGCACACGATGAGACGCTAAAATTTCAGAGCGTAAACACCGGACTCACGAAGAAGGCATAGTCCCTAGCGCAGCGTGAAGGGCACCATTTTGGTTCAGATCAAGCCTCACCAGGACAGAGCTATATATCTCGTATGCGCAGTGAATCTTACTAAGAATGTGGACCTTATAGAGGGCGAGTTGGGACTTGCGCGATGCAGTCTATGCCACACTGCAGAAACTCTTGATGATATCTGTGTGGCGAAGCCAGGAGTCTAGGAGAAATTCTCCATGATGTCTTCATGGTAGACGTGGACCATCTACTTCTACGCCAAGCCACCTGTGCAGTGTGGCAATATGGTAGACCATGACCCAGGGTTCTTACCACCGGCTGAGCTAAGTGGGTCCTGGTAAAGCACATGGCACCTCTTCTCTGTATTAAAGGAGAGGCCATTTCCCTTCACACACGCCAAGAATAGTCACTGCCTCTTGTAGAAAGTGTTGCACCTCCTGAAGAGTCGCATCCTCCCCTATCACTGTAAACAATAACCTGAACACCAAGGAAGTGCTACCAGGTACATTTCCCCTAGTAATGCACAACGTGAATCTTACATTTGTTTTTAATGGAATGTAAAATTTATATTCGAGGCTGTGATGGTTTTCTACATCATTGGTGTATCTCCAAGTCCCATCTTCTTCGTTGGGTTACTGGCCCAGTTTTTATAAATGATTGAGCCCCGTAGACCAAGTGTAAAGGGCCTGCCTTGCAGCCGTTTTCTTGAATTGGAAGTTTTAAGCAACACAAGTGCTTAAATTCAACATATTTTTTGCTGGGCGAAAGGCAAGCCGAGCGAAGTGTAGAAGTCATTTACGGTTCATGAAATTCTTAGAAACATTTCTAATAATAATCTTGAAATTAGTTATCAGAAAACAATATTTGTACCTTGAAGGGGCTCGTATCATATTAAAATGAAATTGTGTTGGATCTAGTAACCGCGTAACTACAAATATACATGTATATGTATAACTACAAATATACATATACATATACGTAATATACAATATTACGATTCGAACTCAAGACCGCTACCAACCTGATTGCAAAGTTAGATCCGGAAATGCACAAAGATTCATAAGGGTTGTAATAGATCATCATAAAATCCCAATCCTAATCATCACAATACTAATACAAGCCATCACGATCCTAACCTCGGCTGTCTTGATCGCATTCCCAATTGCGACGATCTCTAGGACGACAAGCGAGAGGAGGAGAAGCACACGTGGTAGTGAGATTCCAGTACCAGCATCTGGTCGTCATGGAGACCGCCGCCAGGATCCCCACCAGGTGGCCTGAGCTTGTTTAGCTTCAGATGAGAGACTGTTTGACGTGTTTGTCACTGGCTCCGGCGATCGTTATCCGCGTAAACGCCAGTAAATTGCCCTGCGCCATTATGGTGAGACTAGATTTCGTGGTTTTCAAATGATCTTTTGAGGTTAAATGTTTAACTTCATGTTAATTTCTTCCTTTTCATATGTTAAGTTTCACTCACGTACGCAAGAACTGCCTTTAAAAACTTAAAGGAATCATTTAGAATTTTGTATACCACACATGTCAGACAATCCTGGTGTATGCAGCACCAGCACCAGTATCTAGTCAAGCACAAGACTAAATTGGAGAAGGTTCAAGGGTGTGCCACGAATCTAGTACCCGAGCTGAAGGGTATGGGCTACGAGGAAAAACTACTGGAACTAAGCCTCACATTGCTGGAAGACCAGTTGATTGATGGTTGAGAGGCGGGACCAAAGAGCCGAAGCTCAACCCCCCTGCAAGCACAATTAGACGATTATAGTTGTTAGAAAGACTGTACAAGGAAGAATTTCGTCCAGACAACATGATCTCTTGAGCCACAACTGTAGGATGGGTTGTCGGAGCGTATCATAGGCTACTGGAAGGCTACTGGATAGCCTATGATACGCTACGATCTCATAGTCTTTCTGTCTGCATGTTTGCCTGTCTCTGTCTCTCACATTCTTTCCGCTTTCTTCTCCCTCTCCCCTTTGATAAAACAATAATCTTGGGTGTACTAATTCTTGACCGTAATATTGCAGCTTGCCGGTGCCTCTTGGCGAATAAAATATTGAAAGAAAAAATTCTCATGAATGTCTTTTTAGTCTGGCTTCCAGCTTTGATTTATGGCGTCTGGCCACACATATATATCCCACACGTCGCCATATACCTTCTTCATAGGCTCTCCCAGGCCGGTCAAACACTTCCTCATATTTCTCAAACACACACACCATCTTTTTACTTAAACACAAGATGGAGGCACTTTTGGTCTTGCATATATGTGAAAGTGAATCCCCTGTTTACATTTACATTCGTTGGGAAAAACTCGAATATATATATATTTGCCCTTGATAAAGTTATTTTGCATAGTATTTAATAATGTGTGTAAGCGAGGCTCTAGATTTATAGAATAAGTGCATTTTTAGCGTCTTCACAGAATCACTGTTGAACTACCATCAATGTCGGAGAAAAGTAAGGAAAATACTAACACTTAAAACTTAAGACTAAGTGCGTAACTAAGCTATCCAGACGAGATCTCGAACCTGTTTAATGTGTCACGAACTTTAAGTCATAGGTTGAGTGCGGCGCGAGTGTGATAACCCGTAAGTGTTTTGCTACGTGACTGCAGTAGTGTTAATTGCGTTACGTGATTGCAATTGAAGTGTTGCGTTACTTGACTGTAACTACAGTTCCGCGTGTTACGCGATTGTTACTCGAAGTGGTGTGTTACGTGGATGTGTAACTGCAGTGTTGTGTTCCGTGACTGAGGCGCAGGACTTGTGTCAGCCTCGTCGGCGTCTCCTTCAATATGAGCATCAGGAGAGTAAGAGGGTCATTCCGGAGCTCACAGAGGCGCTACGGCTCCACTGAGGGCAACAAGAAAAACAGATGCTCGTCTTGGGTTTTCAAGAACGACGAGTGGAGACTCATTTACGGTAAGTACAGCTGAAGGCGCTCTTATCCTTCACTTCAGGCCCTCATCTCTCATCCTATTGTCGGCAGTTCTTTAGAATGCCAATTTATTTTCATGAATTTATATAATATTGCTTACACTAGGCTTAAAATAATTTGTGTTTAGTTTCTGATTATGTGTATAATTTCGCCTTTAAATTCTATAGATTGATTTCGCAAGCCAAACAAGAAATTCCATATAGATTCTAAATATTTTGTCTTTATTATTGAGCTACGCTTCTTTGACCTCTTATGATTTTAACTTTAGCGATGGTGTTAGTTCGTAAGATTTACATGACTTACCAAACTGGAAGTTGAATGTCCCCGTCTGGCCAGAAGTTAACAAAATTAAGACTTCCTAGGAGACAAGACGCCTTTACCATTCCTAAAACTGAGTTAGGGACAAGTATGACTCCTAAACTCCAGTTTTAATATCTCCCTTACATACTATTTTTACAAATTTGTATATATTTTCTTTCGTTATCGTCTCGGCAATTACTTTGTATCATTTCCGTATCATACTGCAATTGTTTTATTAGGATAAGGTACTCGGAGAAGCATTTGGGTCATGTTAAAGCCTCATAAGGCCCATTTGTATATTTTGATGATGCTCTTGGAGACCTGTAAGTCAGAACAAGTATTATTTTTAGTAATTTTTTGCTACATACTATCCCCGGCTTGAAGCCTTCTTTTGATAATTACTTACTTAAATAAGTTTTGTCATTTTCAAACTTGATGGGAAATACTGTAGTTATTTAATAGCCAACAGCTTAGCTTGGATGGATATGAACCATTGGACTTGTGAAAATGTTAGCTTGGCAAGCTAAGTTGTGTATAGAGGAAAAATGTTGAAGCACTATCTTAAGAAACTATCTTAGCGCTTATTGTAATCATCCGCCTGACTTGACATCAACACACACGTGAAGAAATAATTGATAAACGAATGATAGCCTAGTTTGAACGACGTCACCTATACACCAACCAACTTAACCACTTTTATTCCAGGCATTCGCTTATCACTGGCAATTACATTATTATAATTATTATTATTATGTTAAACATGATACAAGAAAATATGAGTTAGTGATGCATATAATAGTGCAGTATGTCTATAGTATATAATAAAACAGCAAATCAGTAAGGAAAACAGGGACACACACACCTAGCTGGCTACAAGACATCAAGGAATTATAATCACAAAGAGATGGCTTGGTGACAAGTAGTATTAAATCCTGATGAAATCACATCTGTTGCATGAACATACTGTTTTTCTTTTGCAAGGGGAAAAATTACTACATCTACATTACAATCCTCCCATGATGGTGTGAATTGTTTCTTAGGCAAGAGAGTACATTCTGTAATAACATCATACTTTATAACATTAGAACATAAGGTACTCATATGTGCTTTCTTCTTTATCATACATTGTTCATTACTTCCCATCTTTTGAACTAAAAGGATTAATTCATTAGCTCCCTCACCTCTCATTAATCTAATGACAGAGGCTACATTTATCTCTGAAATTCTATCCCCAATACACTTCAGATTCAACTCCCTCTTCAGCAGCGTTAACCGCGAGTTTGATCAGGCTAATGTACAGCCGAATCTATGTATCTATGCAAGTTTAAATTAGTTCGTATTGTAAGTAACGTTTTCTTCTGAATATATAATTTACAATTACATTTTTATGATTTATGTGCTTTATATAGATAGACGTTGCATAGGCTATGCAACTTACTTTAAACTCATGCTATTTAACTTCTACAATGCCTTTCTATTTTATGTTTAAACTATGGCTTTTGCCGATATGTTTTACCATCGTCTAACCTCAACAATAATTATAAAAAGTACTTACGAATAAAAAAAATAAATGAATCACAACTAGGGGTTAGACTTGCAGGTTTGCTGAAATATATTGCAAGTTATACATACAAAAATATTTATTATTTCAGTTAATTGACAGTATGATCTTTAATGAAAAGTTTATTGACAGCAGTTGTGGGCTGTGGGACGTCACATGGATAATGGTTCAAGTTAAAATTGTTATTAGTTTAATTTTTTACACACATACAATTTTACACACATACTGCTAATTTTATTGGCTAGGAGTTTGTAAACTTTTAAGACTTCGTTATGTCAATTTTTAATCTTAGTATAATCATCTTTACTTTAAATTTTAAAATAGTTTAGCTGGAACATTCGTTAATTCAAGACGGACAGAAAAACATCGGGAACTTGTTCGAATGTTTTCTCAGAAAAGTGTTTTCTCCCTTAACAACATGCTTGCAAGTACGCATTTACCGCCATTAAAATTCACATTTTAATTTTTTAAAAGCTGTGCCACATAACATGAATAAACTCTCAAGATGAGATAGAAGATGTAAATGTGTATGCTAATGGCCAGAAGGTATAATGTGACAGCGTTGAGAGGACTGAAAAGGCCAACGTCTTAAAAGTCCCACCTCGACCAATTCAATTTCTTTATTATGCACCCCATACCCATCGCGTGGGCGATGGTGGAAGTTGGCCGCGGCAGCACTTTTTTTAAGTGAGATTTGAAAAGGCCCTTAGAAGGACAAAGATGGGATTGCGTTTATCTTTATTAAAAATAAATAGAATAATACAACAATATATGGTTTCACTTGCGATATTACTGTAGATAAAATGTGTCAACCTTGTGCTTTTAAGCCTTGCCTGGATATAGATATATAGATAGCCTTGCCTGGATATAGTGAGATAGGGCGCACTGAAGTGACTGGTTTTTTTTTTTTTTTTGGAGGAGACAAATGAGCCGCGTCTTATTCTCAGACACCACTTGAGCAGTGAGGCGACTAGGGGTAAACGAGGCAATAATTTCAACCCAGCGTTGGAAACTTTACCCATTATTTGACAGCGAAGAGAGCATTTCCCGCGCTTCCACACACACCCCGCAGACTGATAATAGCTCAAAAGTTCAAAGTCGAGTTTAAAGTTCGAAGTTCACTTGTAAATGCGTAATAGGAATAACGTAGCGTCAATAAAATAATTATTATTTGGCTATATAAGCAGAACTAAAGCCGCCAAGGCAGTTAAGGACTGACTAGCCAAGCCGGTTGGGCATCGCGCTTTCTAGACAGTGGAGCGACAGCATTCTTTTATATAAACAAATTATAACTTTATGTAAAAAATGCAGCTTTGTCTTGAAATTTGCAATGGGACGGAGAAGCAACTCCATGAAGTGACAGGTACAGGCATGACGGTCAACACAAACCGTATTGACATTAATTTTGCCATAGGATATAACATGTATGTATACAGGATATGTGGAAGCTGAACAAATCCACAAAGGCCGTGACGAGGATTCGAACCTGCGTTCGAGAGCATCCCAGACACTGCCTTAATCAACTGAGCTACGACAGCTGGTCAGAATTGCATTTCACCTTTATAAATGCACATGAATGACTATGTCAAAAGGCACCTTGAACACTGCTTATGTAGAACAAACGTGAATCTGTGTAATTATGTCTGTAGGTTAGATTAACGTTTTAAAAGCACTACAATCACCTGTGGTTAATTGTTCAATAAATCACTGAACTATATGTTTAACAGATCTCTAACCCTGTCCACGGAGGAGAGAAGAAAATGTATATATGTGGTTAGCATTATATATGTCTGGCCACGTCTGTGGTAAGAATACAGATCATTAGGCTATGTTTGTCTAAGTCTCTTCAGGTCGTCTCCAATGCATTGTAATTGTTTCGAACTAATAAATAACATTTTCTTTTAAATGTGAATTAATATTATATACAAACATTTTGTATATAATTAGGCTGAGATTAGGCTAGCTTGGGTATTTTATATTATGTTGGCAATTATTTGTATTTGTAGTACGTTGCTAAAGGAAGAGAGCGAAACCATTGGGAGTAGAAATAGCCTAAGCAACTCTATCCCTTTGAGATGTATTTATTTATTGTCTCAATAAACATACTTTGAACTTGAGGGCGAAACAATGTTTGAGGAGTATGAAATGCATCAGCTCTGAGGCGCGCAGAACTAACTGTAAAGCAATTTTCATTTATAACAACACAGCCATGCTGCTGGCGTCTTCCTTCTAGACTCAATCTGCTAAGACGGGAGGACTCATAATATAATTCTCGACTCCTTGAGACGGCCATCACGCGTCTGCAGATTGGGCACAGCGGGTCCGTCTATTTACCCAAAGCTACTCAAAGCTTCCTAACAAGCTACCCAAAGCTGCCTAATATTACGTAAGTAATGAAGATATATGATATATTTACCCACTATATTGTTGGTGTTGAATGTAGAACATGGAAAAAACTTATTTTTACTCTGATATAATATAATTTTATTACGAAATTTGACGGAACTAAGTGGCAGGAGAGGCCATAGGAAGTCGATGATCTAAGCGACCAAGATGAAGAAATTATTCACGATTATTGTTGCCTAGAGGTTATATTAAGTTATCTTTGAATAGGTTAGGTTTAGTTAGGTTAGGTTATGTTTGGGTAAGTTGGTTAGGTTAGGTAAGTACAGGAGCCTCGTATGCCTGCAAACATTGTCGCTTGGACCATCGACTTGCTTTGGCGTCACCAGTTTTTTATTTTCATCTTATTTCGTTATGAAATAATACTTTTTCAGAGTAAAAAATATGTTTTTCATGTAATACATTCAACATCAATATTATAATGAATAAACATATCATTAATTCATTACTAACGTAATGCTAGGAAGCTATGTGTAGCTTTGAATAAGTTTGGGTAATTAGACAGACCCATCCGTCTAATGGGTCTTCAGGCATATTCATGGCCTGAAGAGACAGTAAAGTATGTGGCCTGAGGAGATTGTAAAGCCTGTGGGCCTAAAAAGCCTATAAGGATTAGGGGACCCAATCCCTCTTTACTATTTCCAGGTAAACGGGCAGCCGGGCCGCATCCGATCCCTTGATCGTCTTCGCTTCTAAATCATCAACACCAACTTGCTAAAA